GGTCAAATGGTTTATATTAGAATACCTGTAACACGTTTTAAAGTACACATCTATGACAGAGCCGGGTCAAATGGTTTATATTAGAATACCTGTAACACGTTTTAAAGTACACATCTATGACAGAGCCGGGTCAAATGGTTTATATTAGAATACTTATAACACGTTTTAAAGTACACATCTATGACGGAGCCGGGTCAAATGGTTTATATTAGTATACCTATAACATCTTTTAATGTATACATAATATGTGAGAGAACAAATATGAAGCTGTATGCCTTATTTGGTGTTGTGCCCAATGACTTTCAGGCAGTGGGGTCCACAAGATGTGGTGGTGGAAGTTAGAAGTAGTTTATTATCTTTTTTTTTCTTTCAGGGAAAATCGAAACAAGGGATCTGACAGAAAGAAATTTAGGTAGTTTTGTTTTACTATCCTTAGTTTTACCAGAGGGGTTGTAGTGCTTCCGTATCTTTTAAAACGTTAATGTAAATGAATATTACCTAAAAAGGAAATTAGTTTTCCTTTAAACACTACGGGACATTTAAGTGTGTTCCGATTTTCTCCAATGGTGTTGAGTAATCTATCTAATACCAAACTTTAAGCGGAACACATTAAGATGGATTGGCGTAATTTTAACGGAAACATTAAGGGGAGATATCCCCCAACTAACGCTACTGAGTGGAAACACTCCTACGTCTATTCATGCTATAATTCTTCAATTCAAGACACACAACGATCGTTGATATTCGTGGAACGTCACAAACTGTAAGATTAAAGTTGAACAGGAAAGGAACGAGTTAAAAAACAAAGAGGGGAGTTATTCAGAAAAAAAAACACTTGGTAGAATTCTAGGTTTATATACAGAAAAGTAGTTGAAATAAATAAAGAATATTCAGGCAAGAAAAACATCTGGTATCCAGGATAACGTAAACCTGGTATCAAAGAAAGGTAGAAAATGATAAACCGCATGCGCCAAAGTGCGAAACGAGAAAGAGAGAGAGAGAGAAACGTATTGAACGAACTCACGAAATAACTGATGAAAGGTTAAAGGTTACCAATCACACGTGCGAATGAAAGTTTACAGGAAATGTGAAAATTGATAAATAGAAGCAAATTAAACGTATTGCAATCGAAATTTATGTAAAATCATGGCAATTCAATGTATTAGCGAATTAAGAATAACACCAAGTTGTTCATCTATTTAAGACCTGTATATTTCTTAGGTTCGGTCTTTAAAAATCTGTCCCCCGTTGGACAGCGGTAGGTTTAGGCACTTGCAACGCCAAAATCCAGGATTCGATACCCTAAAAACAACCACGTTTATTAAATTCACATACCAACAAATGAAATATTTCCTATGGAATATTTTGTTAAAGAATAAACGTGTTTGCCACTTGGTCAATAAATTGTGTTTTATTTTGGTGTATTTCATGCACGAAGTTTCACAATGGGCTACGTGCACTGTGTCCTCCGCAGGGACCTAACCCATATTTTTAGCGTGATAAGCCCTCAAGATTACCGCTGAGCTACCGGGGGCTAATGAATATTGAAAATATTTTTAAATTGCGATTTCAAACTTCAAAGCTGAAACCTTGATTATTCAGAAGTATAATATTAGACTAACGTAGTGCAAGTTTTACTTACTTACGTTTCATCAAATTGTTTCACTAATTTTAAAACTAAATGTAATCTATTTCAAAGAAATTTAGATATTTCTCTCAACTCGGTAATATATACATTCTTTTAGGGTACTGGCAGGGGTTTGAACCTCTACAAAATGTTGTATAGAGCACAGGAACATCTGATACAGAAATATAGAAATTTTAAAATAATGGCACTAAGAATATGGCAAAAATATAAAAATATCACATAACAATAACAAGGGGCCCGGCATGGCTTGGTGGTTAGGACGCTCGAATCGCAATCTGTGGATCGTGGGTTCGAATCCCCACCACCAAATATGCTTGCCCTTTCAGTCATGGGGGCGTTATAATGTGTCGATCAATCCCTCTATTCGTTGGTAAAAGAGTAGCCCAAAGGTCGGTGGTGGGTGGTGTTGACTAGCTGCCTTCTCTCTAGCCAATCACTGCTAAATTAGGGACAGTTAACTCAGATTCCCTCGTGTAGCTTTGCGTAAAATTCAAAACAAACCAAACCACAAAAAGTAGAGTGACAGAGAAAGGGCGGCAAATAAAAGGTTGTTTGTGGCGGCATAAAAGTCGATAAAAGAAAATGTAAGAAGAAGATAAAAGTTATTGTGAATGAATTAGTGTCGTGGTTTGAAGAAATTTTAATAGCACTCGTATATGAAAAAAAAGTAAAAAAAGGCTTAACTACTGTTAATAAAACGGAGGTCTTTCCTAAAACGCGAGATTTTTTTTTTAGTTTATTTACTGTTGCCTGGTTGTTTTAGTTATGGCGAGAAGTCACATAAGGGCTACCTGTTATTTGACGACAGTTAGTCAACCGCACTCATCGTCAACTCGTGTAATATTCTAATTAGACAGTGGAATTTGATCGACACTCTTATAACGCACTCAAGGTTACATACTCAAGGGGCGATTTTGTGGCAACAAGACGCGAACCATAGACCCACGGATTTCACAGTCCAGAACACCGCCCACTAGGCTACGCCCGGTACAGTTTTGTGTGTATGTGAGTGTGTGTGTGTGTATGAAAATCATACTACGACTAACTACTCTAAGTCTTTAATATCAGTTCCTAGGGGATATAGCTTGATTGTTAGGTTTAAGGACAGGTTTAAGCCTATATTATAACTACACACATATATACAAGATCTTTGTAGACAGGAATCAATAATCTCAATCACAGAATTTCGGAAGAAAACTCTCGACTCACGTTTTTTACCCTGATACCACACTTTGTTTTACACTGTTTCAAACAAATAAGATAAATAACAACGATGAAGAATACCGTAGTTTAAAAATGTCATTATTATTTACTCAAATAATAGAAAAACATGAACTTCTTCAGAGGGGTTTGTTTGTTTTAGAGTAAAGCCATATTGGACTGTGTCCTCCGCGGGGAATCGAACCCCGGATTTTAGCGTTGTAAGTCCGTAGACTTACCGCTGTCCCATCGGGGGACTCTTCACAATTCCTGTTACTACTCAACGTGTTGACATGGCCTGGTGTTAGGGATATCGATTTGCAATTTGAGGGTCACGGGTTCGAATCCTTTCACCGAACCATGCTCGCCCTTTCAGCCGTAAAGGCGTTATAATGTTACGATCAGTCCAACTTTTTGTTGGTAAAAGAGTAGCCCAAGAGTTGGCGATTGGTAGTATTTACTAGATGCCTTCCCTCTAGACCAGTGGTTCTCAAACGTTTCAGGCCCACATTTTGAAAATCCACGCTGTAGTCTATCACTGCTACATTTTGACGACTAGCGCAAATAGCCCTCGTGTAACCTTGCGCGAAATTCAAACCTAACTACTCGACGTAATTAAGATTAATATATTTTCACGATATAATCTATAGTTTTCAAGAAAAGAAAGAAATACTTACGTGATAAAAGCATCTGTGTCGCGGTAGCAGTTAACAGTAGCGTTTTCCGTCCCAGAAACCCTCGTTTCACAAAACTCTGTGTCGTAGTACCAGTACAGCTGATTTAGGCCACATGCGAACGACGTCAGGACGAGGAAGAAGATGAAGAGAAACTTCGCGATGTCGATGATCATACAGCCGAGGGAGATCTGGAGGGGTCCCAGGTGCGGATTGGTCTGGAATAAGTAGATGACTCGTGCGAAGCTGAAGACGTTAGCCACGGCAAACACGCCTTCGGCAATAAGTGTGGGGTCATTGTTGGGCCAGCGGGTGCGCTCAAGGACCCTAGGACCGTAACGGTCGCTCTGGATCTGAAAGAATGCCACAGCTTTGAGGGAGAAAGTGGCCAAGTAGAGGGACAACATGATGAAGTCTAACCAGTTCCACCACTGTCGGACATAGGCCTTGATTCCCTCTTCCCACAGTTGCTTACACTCTGACCACACCATCCCTGGGATACAATAACAACTGGTCACTTACTTGTCTCTCTATACCATGTATTTATATATTCCATAATAACTACTGACTTACATTTCATTCCCCACTTTAACTAAATGTTTTATAAAGCCACTAAGTCATGTTTTAGTCCCCACTTTAACTAAATGTTTTATAAAGCCACTAAGTCATGTTTAGTCCCCACTTTAACTAAATGTTTTATAAAGCCACTAGGTCATGTTTTAGTCCCCACTTTAACTAAATGTTTTATAAAGCCACTAAGTCATGTTTTAGTCCCCACTTTAACTAAATGTTTTATAAAGCCACTAGGTCATGTTTTAGTCCCCACTTTAACTAAATGTTTTATAAATCCACTAGGTCATGTTTTATTCCCCACTTTAACTAAATGTTTTATAAAGCCAC